GTAGCTGACCTGGTTTTTAGCCGATTTCTACCCATATTTCAAAAAGTAGTCTGACTTATTTCAGAAAATATATAAATTGATTTGAAACACATTGCATACGGTGGGATTCGTACCCACAACCCGTTATTTATTATTAGCTATGTTACCCTTCACTCAAAGAAAAAAGGCTTATTAGTCCTTCAAAAGTAAAATTGGGAATGTTTTTGATCGATGTTAATATTGACTATTTTATTAAGGTATGTACAATACTTTTCTTAACAAATCCATCAGACACGCAGACATATAATTATGTCCGGCTCGTGCTCGATGTAGGAGGAAAGCGCAAGTATTATGCATCCGATGAGAACTTCGAAAAAATTACAACCTTTTTTTTCTTGTGTAATGAAACTATTAAGAACACAATCAACTTTACTGTGACCATCAAAAGATAATAGATTACCCACAAATTAATTATCAACAATAATCATTCGTCGATCATTCGAGAATTGTTTGTGTACTCAATGAGTTAACCCTTCAGCCGACTAATTAAAACAAATTGTCTTCCACTAGGCTCGTAATGGCCCATTCGTCCCAACGTGGGTAACATCCACCCGTCCCCAAAATATATGGACCATAAAACCACAATTACGTTTTATAAACACTGCATTTATAACTACTTTATGATTGTATTATTTATTTTATGTAATATATTATGCTGGTGGAGATTTTGATTTTTTTCTAAACGCTCTTTCAAATATTTAAAATTTTTGGTTACAACCATTAATTTATAGTATTCGGGATTGAAGATAGGTATGGAAGCCACTTTTTCTTACGATAATTGGTTTTTACTATTCAGTGAAATCTCGTTTATTTTGCATGACACATTACTATGTCTGTGTTACTGTCGTTAAATAAGCTCTGCCAGACCAAAAATATTATATTATATACGATATATGTTATTTGAGATTTCAAGTCCAGGACATACATTGATTATATAAATTTATACATTTTCAGTTATTTAAGTAACTTAAACGGTTTAAAATGCAAAATATATTAGCTAATTGTAAACACGTTTAATACACGCGTTTTAAACCTTTTAAGTGTTTAATTTAAATGTGTAGGTACTACTCGCGAAGACTACAGACAGGGTTTTATTTTTATAAGTAGCTGAACAAATTTTTGTAAGTCTGTTAATAAAAATAACATTGTATTTAATTGTTATAGAATTTATTAGAAAATATATTTAATAACATGTATATTAACGCTAACAGACCAATAAATTACATTACATTAACTAAAAATATACTTAAAATAAATCATGTTTTATATTGTTAAAATTAGTATCCTTAACTCGAACAAAACAGATACAAATCACATAATATCTATTACTTGTACAATGTCAAACATCGATTACAAATTAAAAAGTCACCTCCATACTTGTCACCTCGGGGTAAACTCACGCGCAGGACGGCGCGGGCGCAGCTTCGCCGTTACGAGCGAGTTCGGGACGCGCACTAAATTTAAATATTTTAATCCTTAATTTAAATTTCTGACATTTTTATATTACAGGCGTATTCGTGTAGTTTAATTTTTGATGTTATTTGTCATATTCGAGCGACGACGGTTCCTGGCGCCTTGCGTTGAATTCTTGTAAAAGAAAAGGTGTTTTCATTTATTTGTTTGTTTAAATATTCTTTTCTTACATTTAAAAACATAAAACTTTAATAACTAATGCAAAGTGCAGATCAGTTAAACCCACAATGAAAAAGGCGTGTTTTGGTTTCTGTTAGTGCATTTCCAAGATAGGCCGGTAGTGCATCCTCATTGTATTTTATTGTTCTAGTTATTTGTCCATCGTTTGGTATACAAAAAAGTATCACTATTAATTTCAAAACACTCAATATGACACTCTCTCTATTACATAACACATTATACAATGAAAAACATCTGCCTAAAGCAATAAATTTAAGTGATATGTCAAAAGTGTTCTGCAATTTAACTGTTTTAATTATAATTTATCGTACTCTAGAATAAAATAAATATTATCGTAATTGTTGGTCACATATATCGTATTATTTTTGTATTATGCCACACTTTGACCTTTAGGCATAAGTTATTTGTCATATGTTGTTTTTCGTACAATAGGTCATCTACTTGTGTATTTAAATTTCTTAAACAAATTCCAGAATATTAAGTTAATATAGTAATACTTGAAAGGTCCTTTCACATGTTGTACACCCATTTGTAAAAATAATTAATACCCCACATCAAGAAGCCGTGACGTCTTCAAGTCAAGAAAATATGGTACCAGCCATTTTGAAAACATAATGTTAGAGCTATTTAAAAATTTACAAAATATATATTTAATATTGGGGGTTTAATATTTACATAGGTATAACTAACAGTTACCCGCGACGTCGCCTGCGTTCCGTCGTTGTTGTATTGTCGTTTACATTTTTTTAGATCGTTTGAAGAGAATTTTTTCAAATATTTACCTACACCGCCCCTATTGGTGTTTTATTCAAATGAGTAGTTCCTGAGATTAGTGCGTTCAAACAAGCAAACGAACTCTTCAGCTTAAATAGATTAGAATAGATTTAAAATATTTTTTCAAAAACTGTCAACATCCTTATTAAGCTACCATACCGTGTATTCAGTTGATTTTTCGCATTATTAATGTAATTTAATAATAAGTACTTTCTGTTTTAAGTTAATGCGTGTTAAATAAAACTATTTTTACTGTTTTAAATTCGAAACGAAACAACTAATTCTTATTAACCTGACGTTAGAGATGCTTTGTTAAATACATTATTGTTTATCATATAGGACAGACACACACAGGGCTAACTTGATAGTAGGATTAAATACTCCATATAACATTTCAACGAGATGTGCTGGCGATTTTTGGCTTTGGATATTCGGAAATCCACGGATTGAAATCTGAACGCGATTAAACTTCACGGCTTTTCTGTCTGCGTACCCGGACTGCGTGTAGTTTTTACATATTTCTACCGCCCATTTAATCCAGCTTTGACATGTTTCAGAAAAAATGAAAATTGAATGGAAATAGAAGCATTTTGGACCCAGTCAAGATCGAAACCCCTACCCGTTGATTATTAGCTATACACTACCAATATACCAACGAGACCGTCAAATTATCAATATTATAGACTTATTATGTTATGCTTAATTTCAACCAATATTATTCCACAGCTGGACAAACGTTTCTTCTCTTCTCTTCTACGCCTTTAGGGCTCATCTCATTCCAATGCGGATTAATAAGTAATGATTAACACATTAGTAATTTAGTACAGACAGCAGCGACCGACCAGCAAGGCATTTAAATATAGCGATGAATTTGCATAAATAAATAATTGAAAACCAGAGATTTTCTATTTTGTACATGTGACAAAGATAAATAATCAACTATTTTATTATTTTCTTCCATGATAAGATATAAGATAAGTTTTGTACTTGCCGCCTTAATGGTAGGTATAAAATAAAAAAGAAAGAATGTATATAAATGTTTATATACATAAATCTATGTCTAATAATGTTCTAATTACAAATTTCACATCGCTTGCGCAAGACGAGGTGGCCGAGTGGTTAAGGCGTTGGACTGCTAATCCAATGTGCTCTGCACGCGTGGGTTCGAATCCCATCCTCGTCGATATTTTTGCTTTGCGGTCTTATTTTTTTAATTGTCTGGCAAGTTTTTGCTAAATTTGTGAAAATTTTTTGCTTTACATCATAAACGAAAATTACCTAATTTTTATTTTATCCCAAAGAAAAATTTAAATATATGCTTACAAGATAACAATTTTATTTCAAATAAGTAAATTTTGCAAAGGAACAAAAATATCTAAATTTTTATTTATCTATTACCAAGTAGTAAAAAAGTAAGTAGTGTCAAGGTTTTAATTTTCGCATTTCATACCCTCATAATGTGTTTGCCCTATCAAAACTATTTACCCTTCCCCCATAAATTCTACCTTCATCTTAATACGAAGGCAAATATTTTCCTTTCTCCTCCGTAACTCCGTTTTTAATAAGTGCAAATAATTAAATGTGGCTTGGATGAGTGTCGCACGCGCCGCGGGCAAGTCACGTGACTCCATCATCTGCGCATTGTCTGAGGTATTGTTATGAATGTTATTTATGAATATTGGTTCGAAGTAGATCGCTGACACGCGTCTACAACCCCTGATCGATGTCTACATACACTCATACTTGGTAAGCCTGTACTTAATGCTGTGTTAAGTTTTTTTTATGACATAGTAGTCCTCCTCTGCGTGGGGTTGACTTAATAGAAGAGAATACCCCAGCCATATATAAAGCTAATAAAATACGCTGTCGGCCTATTTGGCTTTGAATATTCGGAAATTCACTGACTGAACTGCACCGTTTTCTTATCTGTGGACGGTGGATCGTGATCCGGAGGGAATTCCGATATTCCACTACCATCCATTTAATACCCAGATTTCTAGATGAAGCCTCAATTTTTTAATCAATTTATAATTGATTAAAAAAGATTGGGGCGTAGTTAAATTAAATTCAAAATAAGCTTTATTATATATTTTCAGCTTTAAACCATTAAAAGTGTTTTATTTATTGAAGAATTGAACCAATGACCTGTTTAAATAAAACACTTTAACGGTTTAAAACGCGATATATTCGGAAGCATCCGAAACGTCGGGCCGAAGTTAAAAATCATTCCCAAATAAGTTTAACTAATATATCGCGTTTTAAACCGTTAAAGTGTATTATTTAAATGTGTACTACTCGTAAACTATAGACAGTATTCAATGACCTGTTGTTTGTTATATTTACATTGCAAACATTAGACCTTATTCCTATGTAATAACTCATTTTAAAATCAATACTATTGTAAAACAACTATCATTTTTAGGTTAGGATACAATCTTTAGAAGACAAGCAAGAACGAACGTCAAAAAAGGAATAACAGCTTTGGTACAAAATACAGGCTCATCAATAAATTATTATGAAATATGTGTGCTATGTTAGCAAAAGCCCGCCGATTGGTATCGGAAGTAGGGCGGGATGGAAGCGAGGAGTGGGCGACTTCCTGCGCCTATTGCCCCATAACTCATCATCAGCACTCCGCGGGAGGTGGTCTCACCCTCGCCTAAAGAAAATAAAGATTTGGCTGAATTACACCCTGCCAGAAGGGGGGGAGACAAAAAATAAATCAGTTTAAATCACACAGGCAGATAGATCCGTTATTTTGCCTATATCCTTATTATATTTACTAGCTGTGACTTTGGCCGCGTAGAATAGTCATCAAAATTTTCCAAACCTTCTTTTGATAAATTAAGTTGTTACTCATGACGTCGGTCGCGTCCCGTCTTGCAAGTTGAGCTTAAATGATAGACATAGGTATACTGTCGCGAACTTTTTTAACGTAACATTTTCCCCGTTTCTACTACATTCTCCGCTATTTCTTCGCTCCTGTTAGTAATAACGTTGTGTTATAGCCCATAAGCCTTGATCGATAAATGCTCTAATCAACACAAATAGAATTTCTCCATTCGAACTAGTACTTCTTAAGATTAGCGCGTTAAAACAAACAAACTCTTCACCTTTGTATATTAGTATAGATACTGTCTATAGTTTACGCGAGTAGTACACATTTAAATAATAAACTTTAACGGTTTAAAACGCGATATATTAGTTAAACTTATTTGAAAATGAGGCGGGGAAATTCCCTGTGGCCACGGCTGCTGCAAAGCATCCGAAACGTCGGGCCGAAGTTAAAAATCATTTTCAAACAAGTTTAACTAATATATCGCGTTTTAAACCGTTAAAGTGTTTTATTTAAATATTAGTATTGATTATTATATTTGTAGTATAGTAATGCAAAAGTAAAAATTCGTCGATGACGTGTAGGACTCGATAGCTCAATCAAAAGCGACAGCACGGATGCCGGTTCAAGACCTGCCCTTGTAAATTATAACAATTTTTAAATCGATTTTTAATTTAGGCATAGATCCCTTGTTTTGTTTATTATAAATGTATTATTCTAACTAGTTACTTTGAAACTTCATTACACGTTAAACAATAATATTATGTTGTTATCTTAAGTAAAGTGTAGTTAGAAGTAGCGTTTAGTGTTTTCTCATGTTATTTGTTCGGTACGTGGGATCTCGTATCGCTGATACGCCGCCATTTGCGATAGTGGGACAATGTGTTGTCGGGTGTTGAACGCTATCTTTCACACCTTCATTTGTATTCTGAGCACGATGATACTTCCAACTTAACTGACATCGATAATGCACGTAATGGGTGAAATTTTACGGTTTAAAACAAACATTATAATAATTTTTAAATACGACGAAGTTTTGGTACTATAAACGCGTTACCAGCGTCTTATGCCCAGTTAAGCAATATATCGCGTTTGAACCCATTATAAGTGGTTTATATCTCAATGCAAAATTTGGGTTCTGAGTGATGCCAAAAATATAAACAATCAATTATGAACTAAGTATACTATAATAGGTAGGTATAAAAGAATGCTTTTTATTTCAATCATTAAAAAAATACGCGACGTAAGATCAACATGGATGCGACCTAAGTTGTGGGTAACAGCTACAATATACATATAAGGAGGAGGTTTGGAAAAACAAATCCGCACAAACTATTATACACGGTCGAAGTAACTGCTCGTCCTTTAACACATGCGCTTACGCTTTTAATGTCATTTAATCGTTTTTTATGATGACAAACACAAATTAAGACTTACCAATTACAGTTCTTATTGCTGTCACATCATTATGGATAAGGATAGGGTCTCACGGCGTTTTTGTCCTCCCCCCTACTTCCTAGCTTAATTCAATCGTAGCTTAAGCTCCTCAACACTAAGAATTGATATTCAACGCCGCAAAGCAATTAACTACGTCTTATCTCGGACCAATTAAATGTCGCTGACATTTTTTTGCAGCGACATATCAATCTTCAACTTATAAGGACATAAAACTTCTGGTTTTAATAATTTACCGATACTAATAAATAAAGATTTCAGTTACAGTTCGAAAAACGACCGCCCGGGTCGAGCGCATTAGAATTCTGAATCTATTGTATTTTGTAAATTCTTTTTTGCACCTCGCAAGAATGTATTAGCAAAATTTAGCTCTGATGTTGTATCATAGCTTTTTGCGGCTCTCCTCCCGATATCTCCCTATGATAAAGGATTGACTCCTAAATCTGATGAATACTCATGGAGGGAGAGGACACAGTTAATCTTACCGTTAAGAATGTATTAATGCTGATTGAATTTTAATTTTAACGAAGGAGCCGAACTGAATTGAGAGGTTTTTTAAAGGATCCTGATCCGGCAAACGTTTTGTTGTTTGCAAGATTATGTTTATATGTTTGTTAGTATTATGTTGATACAACTGACAAATAATTAGTAAGCATTAAATTAAACGGAAGCTCTATTAGCGGAAGATATACTTATGTAAAAAAAATAAATTTTCTCAATTTTACCGCCATTTCTAGTTCTGCGTCCACGATGAATGGTTTATCCAACACAAGATATAATTTTTTTATTCAAACCAATAGTTCCCGTGATAAGCGCGTTTAAACTGTGCATACTTATAAGTTAGGTAAATAAGAATTATTCTTACTATAATTTAGCTTAAGTAGTTTAAAAAATGTTTGTATATCTAGTGAGTAAGCCTATTAAATAAATAAACTAACAAACAAAGTCTGCGGCTAATATTAGTATGGATTATTTTTTTACATAAACCAAATTGTTGTTTGTATGATTATTTATTGTGCCTACCTTCGTTTTTTTTTGAATCGTTAAACATAGTTAGGGATGAAAGGTCTTGGGTTTGAATCCCCAAATAATTCTTTTTATTCAGCATAAATAAGACACAGAAATAAGTCTGTGCTTGCACTTCATATGTTGAGCTGCATTTATTTATGTTATATTCAATCACGTACAAAGCAAAAATAGTTATTTAGAACAAGATAGGTAGGTACAACATTTATTTACAAATGTAATTTTTTAAAGTTGTTTTGAAAAGAGATATTTATTTTTTATGATAGGAACATTAGGCGGGTTATTGACATTGAGGACCAATTTACCTGAGAGATAACATCATTGGTTAACAACTAACCGTTAAAATTACACTTCAAATCGAACTTCGAACAGCAAAATTCGCTGTTTAAATTAACAAAAGAAAAATTGGGCCCTGGTACATTAAAAAGTTCTACTATACATTTTTAGATTATTAGTAATTGCTGTGAAGCTTGAAAACATATTAGGGTTACATTTAGCAGGACACGGTCGTTTTCGTCAATCCATAAATGTTAGTATAGAACGGGGCTTGATAGGGGTTGCGAGGGGCGGGGCCAGGTGTCACTTGCAGGCTGATCTTATCTGGGCAAGGGATGCGCGGGGAGGACCCTGGACCCTCGCAATCAACGCAACAATAGGTGCAACGTGTGGGTTACTGTTTACCTCCTTAACATGTGTGCGTTTTAAAACGCTTAGTAGCAGTTTGAAACTGGAGTGAAATCCCCAAATGGGGACACTAATCGGGGCATGGGACAAATACATTTTAGTTCTGGTCGATTTTATTTCCAAAAAAGTCGACCAGAATTTTTTTTTTGTCGTTCGCCCGGCATTTGAAGCCAATATCTCTCGTGACTATGCTATGCGTTCCACCGATGAGCTGCGGGGCTATCGGGGCTTACTTAAAAAACAATAAGTAATGAGTCTCTGAAGTATTATTAATATTGTATTTCGATTACAACAAACTGTGTTTCTTAACAATGTACGTGTAGGTATTACAGTTTAAAAGCCACCAAGCAGTGAAACAGTCACAGACGTGTGTCTGTCTACATAGAGAAAACGTTCGTTATTAAGATGCGCATGAGTGAAAATAATCACAAGAGGTCCCTACCGCGCATGATCAACGATCTAAAAATCTTCAAGTACTGGATCGGCCAATCCCCGTTCAGAAACGATAAATCATCCGTGGACAGTGAAGTTGAAAAGGGCTCGTCGTCTGTCTCGCTCGCGCCTATCACATCTCTACGCCCGAACATCATTTATCACTTGTCTCTCTCGCTTCTTCCCAATGATAAATTCAATTCTCTTTTCGAATATTGTTCTTCTTTTGTTTTGTTTTATTATTGGTAACGTCACCTTTTTTTTGATCAGGATCTGATCGAATCGATCGCGAGAATTGGCTCTTCGTTTAATGTTTGAAATAATCAATCATATTATTGTCTTAAGAATTAATGATATCTGCAATAATTACATATGCCCTTATAAAACAGCTTTTTTATCTAATACTAGCTGCGCTCGCGACTTTGCCCTCGTGGATCAGTTATTTTGGGCATCTTATTATTTTTGAAAACAGACTCCTCTTATAAATTTTCGAATTTAGCTGTTAACACGCCGTTATATGCGGCTCGTCCTTCTTGCAAGTTACACTTAAATATAATTCTGTTGCCACTTTCTCAACTAACAGCAATGTGAAAATGATGTTTAGACCATGAAACAAACGTAATTTTTCTTTTATTCTCCATTTAAAAAACTACCTTAGGTAAAATTAATTCCTTATAAAATTTACTTTTATCTGCCATACCACTAACGCGTATTTCTCAATTTTGTTCTGTAACAATAAATAATTACAAGGACAGTTAAAATAACTGAAAAAAGGTGACATACAATTTTTGTATCATTTTCTTCGCACGAAATTATTCGCGTAAGTTCGTGTTACTTAAATTTAGAATTTTAAGCTAACAATTCGAAATTTAAATTCGATTTAACTTATTTATATTTTAAGGTGAGGTGGGGAAATTCAATAGATTATAAACTTGTTGTATTGAATAAATTTTAATAATTTGCTATTTACATGGCTGTAAAGGCATTCAATAGGTCATTCATTTCTTATCTGTAATAACTTATAATACATACCTAGGTATATAATTTCAGTCGTTTTCACATTTATCTAGGCAGCGGTTGTGTAAAAATAGTTCATTATAATAAAATACATACCTACATTTCAATGTTTTCTCGTGACAAAACATTCATTTACAATAAATCAATCGCTTACTTCTATTATCACTGGGTGTTTATCATCAAAATTTTTACACAGTACGATTTAAGTAAATACTTAGCGCTAAATCATTTACAATAATTGTTAATATCTACTTAGAGAATATATTGTAGCATTATTGGACTTCTGTGCTTTGGCCTTACTGTATAGTTTTTATACATTTAAAAGTATTATGAATAGAGATTAGGAAAATCTAATAAAGTCATTTATATAAATGGAAAGAGTACTTTATGTTTTTCGGCGAGCTTCGAACCCAGGACCGACAGTGTTGAGTCTTTTTTTATTATAGAGCAGTACAGAGTATATGAAATACGCCAGCCATGTAGCATCAAAACAAGATGCGCTGTCGGCCTTTTTTGGCTCAGATTTGAATTTAGAACTTAAGAGGGTTTTATCGACGGACGGCTGTTGGCGATACGGAATTTCCAGATTTCCAGACAAAGTCCAACGTGTTTTATAAAAATGTATATTTTTATTAGAAATACGTTGGATCGAATTCATGACCCGGTGCTTATTAGCCGTACATTCCTACCATTAGACCGACGAGTCTGTCAAACTCCTACCAGATGGCTCAATGCTCGATCGCCGTTGGTGTTGGGTTCGATCGCCTGTGTCGTCAACTTCCTCAGTCTAAAATACCCTTTCAATTGTGCATTAAAATGTGAAAAGTATTATGTGAAATTCGTTCGTGTTTATTTTCTAAATATAAATCCATAGAAGAAAAAATAGAAACGAATGGATATTTCACGAACAATTAAAATTCTATTCACTACGAATTGATTTTTAAATGTAAGACTGTTTATAAATTTCGAGAAGGTCTCACAGTATTCAAAGAAAGCAATAAATCAATGTCGACTACATTGGTTGACAAAAATCTTGGCTGCAAACGTTTACGAATATTACAATACAGACAATAAATAGAATATTTCAATACATTGTTTATGAGCGTTTTGTTTTAACACGCCACAAAATAAACAAACCGATGTTTTTCTATTGTTCGTTTAACCCTTTCGCTCTATAGAAGCATTCGTAACTTAGAACGGACGGTTAAATTTGGCCTCAAGTGTATTAAGTAATCTTAAATTGTATTAGGTAAAGTTAGTGGCGTATATAAGGGGTAAAATAAAGTGTAGACAAGTCGAATGAGTTCTTGAAGTGAAAACATTATTCTGGAGAAATGGGAGATATAAGTTAGGGTTGCCAACATTTGTCCAGCGAATGATATATAGCATTTTTATGACTGGGAATATAAAATATAGTACACTTATAAAAATATAGGAGTAGTAGAAACACACTACGAAAAATTATTATTCAGCAACATTCAAAAGCTTTTAAATTAGTGTTCTTCGTACTATATACTTTTCAATATCCTATGCCACAATAGGCCGACAGCGCATCTTGTTTAAATGTTATATGGCTGGGGTATTTCAACTTCCATCATGTGAACTCCACGCTTTTCTGTATTATACAGCAAAGCAGTATCTAGTTCGCAGACCCAAAATATATTAAAGAACGATTGGCAACTCTAGACTATAACTACTATATAACTAAGATTGTTTAACATTAAATTGGAAGAGGGGGAGGGGGCAGATGACCCCCTTAAAATTTTAAAATTATACCCATATATACGCCACCAGGTGTAGTAGAAATGACAGTTATAATCTTTATATTATAAGCGTAATTCAAAAGTTGCGCTTAAGTGAATTCGCATCGCTTATACTTTGTTTAAATTCCATCATTAAAGCTTTAGGCGGAAAAGTATAAACAATATTAAACAACAGTTAGGCACGAGACATTTTCACAGTGGTTCGTTGTCGCGAGTGAATTCCCTTAAGCGCGATGGGGTCAGTATGCGGCGGCCGCCCCAGAATGGTGCATCAAATGGTGGTGGTGGTAGGACTCTTGCGAGGGGCACCACCACTCCGGCACGCCGTGTGGTACTGGTGGGGTCGGCTGCTGGAACTGTCCCCAGTGTCCCGTGAATCCGAGCTTGTTATCCATCATACCGTTGCCACCTATATTCGTCAGGTGAGGTTGTGGTGGTGGCGGTCGCTCGTAGGTTTTTTGGTCATGTGGGTTAAGGTATTTATCGTTTAAGCTCTCTAGTTTATCTGTGATTGTGGGGTGATGTTGGTGATGCGGCGCTGGTGGTATTGGGGGCGGCGGTACTGGGACTGGAGGGCTCGCGGCGCCTGCTGTGACACTGACGCTGCCTGCTGATGAAGAATCGTCACCGTCGCTGTCGTACCGTGGAGATGTGTCCCCAGCTGCTCCGTGTACCTTCATGTGCTTGCGCAGGGATGACGGGTGAGTGTAGGACTTGTCGCAACCGTGTACGCGGCAGTTGTAGGGTTTGTCTGATGTGTGGACGTGTGAGTGCTTTTTCCGATCCGAGGAATTGGCGAAGCGTCGATCGCAACCAGCGTACTCGCATTTAAAGGGCTTCTCACCTGGAACAAGGAAAACATTTGATAAGTGCATTAATATTTTTGATACAAGAGATATTGTTAAGATGGTGCCGTGAGAGTTCGATAACCCAAAGTTGTGTATGGAAGAAATGGGTAAATCAGTGTCCTCAATAGAAAATAATTATAGTAATATTCGTATAGAACACTTTAACGGTTTAAAACAAAAAAATATTTAATACTATTTTTTTATTAATTATACTCCTCACGTAAATTACAGACAGTATTAAGTAATAATAATAAAATAAATTATATAAATACAAACGACTTAAAACTAAAACGGAGGACAAATATATATATAAAAAGAAACAAAGAAGATTTACTATTATGAATCCCGATGGAAACTATTTTCTTCTAAAATATAAAGCTTTGAAAACAAAGCCAAAAACAAGACTATAGCGCATGTCAAAATATTATTTGGCTGGGATCCTTGCATCAAGTAAAGCACTTTCTTGCCTGTCCTCCTCTGTTATCAAGAAATTCAATATCTTAATAGTATGATTATAACATTTCCGCGCAGAAAGTACTGGAAGCCAACCAATAAACCGTCGAAGGCCGAATGCAAATGTCCCACCACGCAATAAATAACAAGATTTGCCCGTTGTTTAAGTTGGGCATAAATAAACGTAACAATTGCCCGTGGTACTTAACAGTGGTATAAATCATCTTTGTAAGAACTTTGTCACATCTCGTGACAATAATGTTTACATTGGTAAACTATCCTCGACTTTATCACAATGGGAGAAGGTTTGTTTTCGGTTGATGATTATATTGAAGGAATCCCGATGATGTGATCAGAACGAACAATGACATTTATCCTTTAGTGAAGCTACCCTTCGATAGTTCATTTAAGTGCACATATTACTGCTTAAGGTTCATCGAAGTGAAATCCCATATCCTCAAAGTGGGGCATGGGGTTCGCACATTTTATATATCCATGTAAAAAACCATGATCTTATTATAATGTATTTAAATAATACACTTTAAACGGTTTAAAACAAAATATATTAGGTCTGCTGCGAAATAGATCCGCCAAATACGAACTACGACGGAACAGATGGCGCTAGCGTAGCAGTTTTTTTTTTTTTAGTTTCCTACTCCGCCCGTGACCACGGCTGTTGCAAAGCATCCGAAACGTCAGGCCGTAGTTAAAATATTTTGTAAATAAGTTTAACTAATCTATTTCCCGTTTTAAACTGCTACAGTTTGTATTTAAATATATTTAGGGTTTCTAACCGTTGAAAGTGTTTCGTTCATTGTGCACCGCGTGAACTACACTGTATTTAAGGCAATACAAAATTCGAGCAAACCATATAATAGGCTATCATCAGTGTGTGGAAGTTATCCGAGCATATTTTGATAATTGACACATTTTTTGCAACTACCCACCTCGGATTTGAGCGTCATTGTTGTGAATTCTTCACGGGCGCACCGAGTCGTATACGATGAGGATGTTACAATAACAAGTAGGCTTTGAACAGACCAATGTGACCGCACAATGTTGCTTTCTTTGTAATGTTTACAAATAAACCTCTTGCTCTAATCCCTGCTATAGAAACCCGAAGCTAAGGACGTACAGATGCTAATCTCAAGTGTCCTTTAACACGGTAATAATAGCTTTTTGAAGTTCACTGGAATATTTGTTAGTGTCGAAATACTGAATGGAAGTACACACGATGATATTTCCTTTCACAGCGCTTGTATTTACCTACTTTCATTCATAGTGGCGTACAACACAATTTCTATAGGTTTTTTTTTTTTTATGATAGAGGATAGTCGCGGGGTTTACTTGATGGTAGATGAAATATAGGGGCTTAAAGCATCTAAAAAAGATGTGTTGTCGATCTATTTTGGCGTTAGATATTCGAAAATCGACAGACTCAAACCGAAACGCAATTAAACTTCACGGCTTTTGGTAACGAATATTTCTATCCGATGTATTTGTCAAACATCTGGATAAATGTTCTAACCAACACGAAAATATTTTTTCAATTCGAACCAGTAGTTCCTGAGCGCGTCCAAATACGCTTCTCGGCATTATCATATTAGTATAGATAACTGAAGTGTATCCTTTTTTATTGTTTTCCAAATACCCCGACCCGACAGTCGAATTCTTGTAATCCGCAGCTCGTCGCGACAGCTATTAATAAAAGTTTAATCAAGCCGAAATCTTGTTTAGGTAGTTTACAAGATTTTTATTAGGCGATACTGGTCAAAATACTCGTTTGAAGGGGTTTTTAAAAAAAGTCCACTGTCTTTGGGTCGTACAAGTTTGGCGACCGGGATCCCGACGCGGCTAATAAGGCCGCGGTCATCTATAAACGCAGTAGATAGCTGTTGCTCTCTTCGGCGATTAGTTTGAACTAGTGTAACGAGAGGTTGCCCTAAGTATTTTTCATCATAGAGAACACAGAAGCACGGGCTCGCTTGGTGGTAGGTTAAATACCACAGCTATACAATAAGATGTGCTGTCGTCCCTTGGATATTCGGAATTCCGTGGACTAAAACCGAAACGCGATTAACCTTCACGGCTTTATCTGTTGACGGTGGCTCGTGACCTGGAAGAATTTTGATATTCCTATCACCCATTCAGAGACCATGCAGATTTCAAGACGAAGTGCAACATGTGTAAGAAAAATTTCAAAAACATTTTGGACCAGATTGGGATCGAGCACAGACATAGCTTCCATTACACCAACGCGCCCGTCAGAAGCATGAGCTGTACTGGTCAATAGGATCAAAGTATTGTATACGCGTAACGCGTTACGTTGTAACTAAGGCGTTTCTAGGAGACCACAGCCGGTGATAAAGAAGTCAAAAACATGTGTCACCCGTCTAATTACTAATCGGGCGTTTCATCTCGATGTCACAAAAAATACTTAACGACAAATTCTATCGAGAGTGCGATCGGTTATCTGCGCACGCGCCGGTGACATGGTGGCCTGACGAAGTAACTGACGTGAATTATGTTAGGTGACGTGTGAACTCACTTCTCTAATAGGGCCTGGAATAAACTATTTTGGGTCAAACTGACTTTTTTGAAGCCTTCATATATTTCTATGGATTGTAAAGCAATATGTAAATCGAACTATTAAAATTTGTTTTTAAAGAATAACTAATTAAGTATTGTCTGTAGTTTACGCAAGTAATACACATTTAAATTAAATGTTTTGAACGGTTTAAAAAGTCGCGAAATGTTTTTTAACTACAGGCGTAAATTATGAGTTAATTCTTGCGTTGGAATGAAATACTTTTGTGTGTTAAGCAATCTTAATTCAACTTAGTTGAGCAGCAATTGTTTTTTTTACGATAGAAAAGGACATGCATGCAGAAACAGAGTTAACTTGATGGACGTTGAAATACCACAGAAATATAAGATCTCAACAAAATGCGCTGTCGTCCTATTGTGGCTTTCAATCAAACTTCACGGCTCTTTTATTGGACGGTGGTTCTTGGGTCTACCACCCATATAATATATAGTTATATCAATTTAATATGTAGTAATAATTATAAATGGATTACAAACATTTTGGATGATGGAGATCTAACGATGGAGATCGAATTCGCGACTCCCACTGTGTAGAACTGAAGTTTCATCTATCCAAAGCACACTAGCAAGATATACTTTCCATTCAAAAGAAGCTATACATTATCATATACACTAAAGCTATAGGCTTCGTAAGTTACCGAATTAATATTACAAAAGAACAAGGACAACGATAATATTTTTTCGAATTTACAAGAAAATAAAAAGGGACAACAAACAGCGAGGAGGCGCGTCGTGAATTCGCTGAATGCCACGTCGGGACGCTGGCTAGGGTCAGATCTTTATCTTAAACGCCTGTATCAGCCCGCAGCACCACCAGGGACACTTTTTACGCTATTAAAATATACTAGCTGTGACAGCGACTTCGTCCGCGTGGAATAGTTATTTTGGGCACTAAAATTTGTTTTTGCAAGCCCTCTTTTCATCTTTATAAATTTAAGCTGATACAGGTGTTTTAAACCGTTTTCACAGATCGAAAATTTTCTTCGTTTCATTCACATCCCCCCCGTATCGCCGCTTCTGTTGGTGATAACGTGTGTAACTATCCACAGACTGAAGCCGAAACGCAATTAAACTGGTGGACCCAACATCCACAATTTATTTCGTTACCAATTAATGTCCACCGTTAATGTCCAGATTTTCAGACGAAGTCCATCATATTTCAAAAAATATATATTATGATGGACCTGGGGATCCGGAGGGGAGCAAACCCACGACCTAATAATTAGGCATCCATCGCTACCATTAAAACGTGCCCGTCAAAATCAAATCGCAATAAAATAGCATAAATTTATTCAAAGTGTTGGCAGATCGTCCCGTAATTTTTCAGCAGTATCGCGTTACTTAAGTGCTTGGCTGAAAAAACAAACTATTGGAAATAGCATATTGTGTAACGTGACCGCTGACACAGGCGGCCTTTGCTCTCAAATTGTCAAAATGTTAGGTGAGTTTGTAGAAACAACAAAAGATATCGAGTTGCTTTGAACGGGAAGGCTATTTACGAAGATTACAACACTTAGCGATTATTTTATTACAATCCCCGCGGCGTTACTTCATGTCAGATTTCAAATTAAGAATGGAAAAATTGGAAACCTTTTTATAGATGTCTGTCACTCGTTTTAAGCAATTAAAACCACTTTGAACGGCTGAAAACTCGTAATATATATGAAAGCCAGCGCCGCTGAGTGTTACAAGCATTTAGCAGCATAGCTGAGACTGGTACCGATTGCCATCCCTTATATATTTATTACTATATTATTAGTATTTTTATGCACACAACTTAGTTATAAGTTATACATTTTTTTAAACGTCTTATAATGGTAATAAACGTTTTGAATTTGAAATGAAATATTATATATTGAGGAGGCATAATATAAACGCAAAAATACTTATTTGATAGTGCCTAATTTCAATGATCTGTCGCTTAAGATGGATGTGTAGTTAAATAAATAATTACTGTATTTCAGGTTTTAAATAGTTAAAACCATTTTTTATTATAGTTTATTGTTCCGTTAGGAAATCCGGCGACAATCTTTTAATTATATTTAAAACAATGACGAAACGTTATACGTTAATACCTTAAGTCATCTTTTCCAAGAAAAAATCAAAAGCTTGTTATAATAAAGTGTGTGAACATTTCCCGCCGTGGGGCATGGGGCGAAAAAGTTTATATGTCCGTTTTGCTGATCGGTTCTGTTACATGCAAGAAGCTGATCAGACTACTGTGCCCTGCGTTAACGAAACAATTTATTGTTTCCTCGAGATTCGAAATCGTGACCTCTCGTGCTTAACGCGTTGCTAGGCAACACGTTTAACCATTTCGCTACAGAGTTAGTGTTATAAAAAAGGCTATTACTTATTGATATGTAAATACTGTCTATAGTTTACGCGAGTAGTACACATTTAAATAAAACACTTTAACGGTTTAAGCAGTGCAGAATTGACTAACGGTGTCTTCGCTTTTGCCGGTATGCTGTTTATTGGGATCCGAAACGTCGGGCCGAAGTTAAAAATCATTTTCAAATAAGTTTAACTAATATATCGCGTTTTAAACCGTTAAAGTGTTTTATTTAAATATTGATATGTACTTTAAAAATTAAGAATCTCTCGTTTTTAGAAAATACCATATTTCCCGCTATAATTATTCGTAGACGTAAATAAAGTACTAATAGATAAATCTTTAATTAACTTCTTTATAAAAGTTTTTGTTCACAAACTTATATCGTCATCAATTATCACAAATATAGTCTGCGAATCAGTTCGTTTTATAAATAAATGTGTAATTTGATATCATGCGCACCTGTTTTACTCAAACTAATTAAATCTTATTCATATGTTTTCATTTTCCACGTCTTAAACATGCAGATTACATTTCAAAAATGTATGTGATTTTTCATTCGGCTCGAACTGCTCTGGATGCCGCCATAGCAATTCAATCTTTTCAACTCGATTAGTTTAATTTAAATTTCCAAATTTAAACTTAATAGCATTGTTTAAATCTCTTAGCAGCTATTAGAGAGTGGAGCTTATCCGAGTTAATTCAATCTCGGATAGACAAGCGGCTAATGAGAATGCGATGACTGGCGTTTTATTGACACAATCGTCTATTTTGACCAGACACGACCGCCATGTTCTTCTGACCTTATTGCTGCATCAATTTTGTTATTACGTCTTGGGCGACCTTTTAAACTGAAACTAAGCACGAAATCTAACTTTGTATTTTTTGCAAATCGATTTTTAAGACTAATTATTATTGATTAGATAATATTGACAAAGAAACATGATAAGCTACTAAGTGAGTTGTTTCAAGAAGAGAATAAGCACTTCTTTATGATAGGGGACGACAGATACGCATAGAGTTCATTTGATGGGAAGGTTGCGCTGTTGACCTATTTTGTGGGCTTTGGATATTCGGAAATCCATATATTCAAACCAAAACGCGATTAAACTATCGCGTAAACTACAGACAGTAAATACTGAAGTTACAGTATTTACTTACAGTTTGTGTATACTGACACAAAATCTTAATATATATTACGTGTGTTTCTTTTTGTATATAAATTGTGAAGACATGATTGTAACACTTTGTAACGGTTTAAAACGCGATAAATATAAGCTAAATTACTTTTTACGACCTGAAGTTTCTAGTGCAAGAGCCACCGTGAACCTCCAGGGG